TTTGCTCCCGGTGCCTCTGGTCTGCTGGGGACCATCTCCAGCAGACCAGGGACACCGGGAGCAAAGCCGGGGAGGCGGAGGGGCGCTGGGGTATAAGACGAAAACCTATCTTTTAACTAAAAAATTAGCGGGTTGTCTTATACGCCCAGTCGCCTTATACGCCGGAAAATACGGTATGTATGTTTATATAAAAACACATTTTATTTTTATAACCTTTATGCATTAAATCTGAAGAATAAAACTTTTAAAAAGATCATATGGTAAAAGTTTTATTTTTGTTACTGCATCAGCCTAGAGCCTATTTCCACACTCCAAACTCCTTAGTCCCAGTCCAGAGACTCTACTCATGCCCTGAACTAGGGCTGTGAATGATTAACTGGTAAGCTTCACTCTTACTGGGTGATACTTACTGGTTATGGTTAGCAGGCCAGGGGTGGAGCAGACCCCTTGCCACTGTGGGGGGAGGGCTGCTCCAGCCCAGCCCAGTATGCCATGGCCAGGGGAGCTCCAGCCTGGTTCCAGTGAGCAGTCCCCACTGTGCTAGGAGTGCCACTTCAGACCTACTATGGCAGGTGGGGGTGCTGATGTAGCCAAGTTGGGCTGGAGTGACCCCCCCATAGCCCTGTTTAAGTAGTTAAGTGGTTAAACATAATGTTTAACTAGTTAACTGATTAAACAGGATTTTACATTCCCTCTCTGAACCCCTCATTTCCAGTCTCCTCCCATCCCCCAGAGCCTAGGAGAAGACATAAGAACGGTCATACTGGGTCAGACCATCTAGCCCAGTATCCTATCTGCCGACAGTGGCCTATAGCAGATGCTCCAGAGGGAGGGATCACAAGAGGTAATCCTCACATGATCCCTCCTTTGTCACCTACCTCAAGAGAAACAGAGACTAGGGATACTATTTCTACCTATCCTGGCTAATAGCCATGGATGGACCTAACCTTCACAAATCTATCTAGCTCTTTTTTGAACCCTGTTAAAGTTCTAGCCTTCACCACATCCTCTGGCAAGGAGTTCCACAGGTTGACTGTGCGCTGAGTGAAGAAAAACTTCCTTTTGTTTGTTCTAAACCTGCTGCCTCTTAATTTCATTTGGTGAGCCCTAGTTCTTTTACTGTGGGAATAAATAAATAACTTTTTCTTTTCATTTTTTTCATACCAGTCATGATTTTATAGACCTCTATCACATCCCCTCTTCATTTCCTCTTTTCTAAGCTGAAAAGTCCAAGTCTATTTAATCTCTCTTCATATGGGACCCGTTCCAAGCCCCTAATAATTTTTGTTACCCTTTTCTGAACCTTTTCCTATGCCAATATGTCTTTTTTGTGATGCGGCGACCACATCTATCTGTACGCAGTATTTATATAGAGGCAATAAGATATTTTCGGTCTTATTCTATCCCTCTACCCCTTACCTTACTTAAGCAGGTAGTTAAGACCAAAGCAGACTGTGAAGAGCTTCAAAAAGATCTCACCAAACTAAGTGATTGGGCATCAAAATGGCAAATGAAATTTAATGTTGAAAAATGTAAAGTAATGCACATTAGAAAAAATAATCCCAACTAATATGATGGGGACTAATTTAGCTACAATTTCTCAAGAGAGAGATTGTGGTATCATTGTGGATAGTTCTCTGAAAACATCCACTCAGTGTGCAGCGGCAGTCAAAAAAGCAAATAGAATGTTAGGAGTCATTAAAAAAGGGATAGAGAATAAAACAGAGAATAACATATTGCCTCTATATAAAACTATAGGACTCATGAAGATACAGATCTTATGAGCAGACCAAAAGACACAGCTAGCTAAAAGTTTCCAGGCTCAAATGCACAAGGCAAACAAACAAACAAACAAACAAACAAACAAACAAAAAGCCAAACAACGCCCCCTTACCTACAGTGGAATCCATGTGGATGAATACTTGAACTCAGAATTTTCTGATTTTATTGTTTTCTGATTTTTCTGTTTAATATACCCCAGTGGTTCCCAACCTGTGGTCTGCAGATAGTACTGTAGGAGGAGTCTGTGGAAAGGATTGTGGTGGGCCTGATCCTTACTTTTCTTTTCTTTTTCTTTTCTTTTCCTTTCCTTACTTTTCTTTTCTTTTCTGTTTTTCTCCCCCAGGGAGGGGGTCCATGAAATTAGATTGAAAAGGGGTTCATATGCTCAAAAAGGTTGAGAACCACTGATATAACCTATAGTATATATTTATGTTTTCAGATAACTGTAAATTTCAGAGAAGGAAGTATATACAGGTGGAACTGTAGTCCTGATGTTGCTGGACCAAAGAACCCTGGAATTTGAGAGTGGAATAAATCCAGGAGTCCAGACAAGGTGGGGGAGCCCCAGTTGGGCCAGTGGTGGCTGGGGAGACCAGCCTTGGGGAGTCCTAAGAGCCCCGGCCCTTGCTGGGAACCTCCTGCGGTAGTGGGACCAGTGACAGTCAGGAATCCCCAAGCCTGGCTGGGAATCCCCAGTGGTATTGGCAGCCTGGGGAGCTGGGAACCCCAGTGGCAGTGGGGCAGCCTGGGGAGCTCTGGCTGGGAACGCCCCCTGCCCAGGCAGCTGGGAACCTCCAGCTGCAGCAGGACTGGCCAGAGAGTCCTTGCCCCAGCCAGGGACCCTTGATGGTGGCGGCAGCCCGGGGAGCTGGGAACCCCCAGCAGCAGCAAGGAAGCCCAGGGTACCCTAGCTGGGAACCCACAGCAGCAGTGGGTCTGGCAAGGGAGCCCAGACCTGGCTGGGAACCACCCCAGCAGTGAGGCTGGTTGGGGAGCCTTTGCTACAAACCCCAGTCCTGACCAGGAACCCTCAGCATCAGTGGGGGCTGGAAGCAGCCTAGGAGCCTGGGCAATGGGGATGCAGCAGCTGGAAAGACCCTATCCTAGGGAGCTCCACATCCCAAAGAGGAGGCGGGCATGGGTGTGTGGGAAGCAGAGAGCATTGACCTCCCGGGTCCAGCAAACTCCCTGGTTTGGGACTGCTCAGGTCCCAAGAGTTCCAGACCAGGGAGGTCCAACCTGTAGTACTACATTGAATCAGACATATCACAAGCTGTTCTGAAAGTTCTGCCACAGATCTTTTGGGGAGGGAATGTTCCCTCTGGCCAATGAACACTGATGAGCTATCTCCAGCTGTTATTGATTGGAAGGAGACCATCACAATTTAAGGCTTTTGCAGACCAGAAGGAGAAAAACAGGAGTAATCCTCTCAGACTGCCACAAAAATACTGATACCGGAGTTGGTCAAGGCATTCAGTAGAGAATAATGGGAAGTACTCCCACTACCAGACACTGAAAGGCTAAAAATAGGGGCTAAAATTTGGAGTCTGGAATCTATAAAATACTTTAAACAATTAAACAATTCCAAAGAGGTGTTATTAAACTTAAATCGAATGATACTTGCTTTCATATATAACTTCAGCAGTCTCCACAGGTTGCTCATTTTCTTCTTTTAATTTCAACACCTCTTGTAGTTCTCTTCTGCAATTAGAATATTCTAATCTTTATTTGTATAAAATGTGGCTGCAACAAGTTTTAAACATTAAGTGGAAATGCAGAAAAATACTATTCATTATTAAGATAGTATGGCAAGCCTGATTCTTCCAAGTGATTCATTACTAAACAAAACCTAATAATTTGTGTCCTTCCTGGTTGTTATCATTTTGACAAATAAATGAGAGGGATGAAAGCATATATATTAGCTAGATCAGCATTTCTCAAATGTGGCTATTGTGGCCCAGGGCTGCTGACAAAATAGTCAGACCCCTCAGCAAGGTAGGAGGGTCCTAGCTCTGGGCCCACAGCAAGGGCATGGCCTCAGATGAAAGGGGCAGGGCTGGGAGCTGACCTCTGGAGCAAGCCCTTCAGTGCTCTCCAGCAGTGATTTCAAGGGCCTGGGGCTCTGGCTGCTGCCACTATCGCCGTAGCAGTGGTAGTACCTGGGTGTCCTGGGTTCTTTTAAATTGCCAGGCTTCAGGGCAGCTGCTCCTTTTGTCTCCTGTGGGCAGCCCTGCTGTGGCCACATGCAGCCACCAGGGATTTTGTATGTGGCCAAAATGGCCTCCAGACAGTAATGGAGGGAATGACAAAGCATCAGCTCCTCCCCCTACCTCCCTGTTGCTCCTGGATGTGCCCTGCACCAACTCTGGAGATATATTGGGCCAATGTTGCCGGAGAAAGGTGAATTCTTGACCCACCATGGAGGAGGCCTCTGGCCTTCAGCTTTGGGTTAGTTGGGGAGAGGACTCCAATGTCAGGACTTTGGGATCCTGGCCCTATGGCCCCTGGCTCTGGGATGGCAGGCTGCAATCCTGGGCTTTAGCAGATGTGGAGCCCCTGCTCTAGCCATATGGAAATGGGTCAGATGCTCATCCCAAGTCCAGGCTGTGTGGCAGAAAGCTCCAACTCTGAGGCTTTGGGTGCAGCCCAGTGGCAGGGGCTGAGCCCCGGCTCCATCCATACTGCCCCAGCCTCCAGTCACAGGAATTTCAGCTCCAACTCCTAACTTCAGCCACACAGCCTCAGTCCAGGCGCTGATCCCCAGCTGCACAGCAGCAGTTGCTGACCCCCAGCTCTGGTCCTGGGCTCTGGCCATGTGATGGTGAGGGTTGGCTCTGGATACTGACCTCAGCTAATCCCTGGTTCTGGCCACATGGCCCCTGGCTTTGGCACTCAGTTCTGGCTATGTGGCACTTGGCACTGGCCCTGGGAACCAATTCATAGCTCTAGCCACACAGCAGTAAGCTCTGACATCTAGCTCTGACCATGCAGCTCCTACCCCTGGCTTTGGCTGTGGGCACTGACCCCTGCCAGAGGGCTCCAGCCCCAACTCTGGCCATGTGGCTCCTGCTCTGGGGTCTTGCTACAGGCACTGACCCTGGCCATACGGTAGAGGGTGTTGACACTCAGCTCAGGCCATGCTGCAGTAGGACTCATCACCCATTCTAATCATTCCTGGCTCTTGCTGCATCCTCTAGGCCCCAGCCCTGCATTGATCCCCTCATCACCACCTCGGACCCCGCTGCCTTCCTGACCCCACATTCACCCCAACTCATAACTCCAGGGCCTCTGTTGCCTCTCTGGCCCCACAGCCATTGCCATGACCTCCCTGCCTCCCCACTGAGGGCTTAATTTGCCTTGGTATTTGCTGAGAAAAGTGATATTAAGAAAGTGAGGGTTACTCACCTTGGACAGTAACAGAGGTTCTTTGAGATGGTTTTATCTGTGGGTGCTCCACCTTAGGTGTCTGGGGCACTGCTGTGCCTCTACTCAGAGATTTTAGGTAGCGGTGTCCTCCAGTAGGCTGTGCACGTGAAGCAGGCAGCATGCATGGTGCCACTACTATGCATGCGCAGACTTCTGTCCCTTCAGTTCCTTCTTTGCCCCAGAAAAACAAACAACTATGTCTGAAGCAGAGGGGAGGAAGGGCGGGTGGTGGAGCACCAACAGGCACAACTATCTCAAAGAACCTCTGTTACTTCACAAAGTGAGTAACCCTCTCTTCTTCTTTGAGGAGTGTCCCTGTGGGTGCTCCACCTTAGGCGATTATGAAGCAATACCTAGATCAGAGGCGGGTGCTTAAGCTAGTCAGTATCATGCACCATATCCACAACAGTGTACCCAAACTGGGTGCCATGGAAAAGGTAAGTATCAAGAACATAGTGTTTTGAAAACATGTGAATCGAGGACCGTGTGGCAGATTACAAATGTCCAAGAGAGGAATGCTATGCAGGTAAGCTATAGTAGCCGCTATGGCCCTTGTAGAGTGTGCATGTAGCTGCAACGGAGGATCTTGGCCAAAGATGGAGTAGGCCAGACTGATGCAGTCCACTATCCATCTGAATAGTTTCTGGGTAGAAATTGGCATGGTCAAGGCTCTGTCTATAGTAGAAACAAACAACCTTCTTGACTCATGGATTTGTTTAGTTCTGTCCAAATAAAAGGCAATTGCCTTGCAGACATCAAGAGTGTGCCATGCAGCCTCCTTATCATCGATCCTTTTGGGAAAAAGACAGGTAAGTTTATGGGTTCATTACAATGTAACACAGTTGAGACCTTGGGGAGGAACTTTGGGAGTGGGTGGAGAATCACTTTGTCCTTATGGAATACTGTAAATGGGTGGTGGGGTGTCCGCCATCAGTGCACCAATTTTGCCCACTCTCCTGGTCAATGTCACAGCTACCAAGAAGACCACCTTCTTAGAAAGATGGAGCATGGAGCACGATGCCATGGGCTCAAATGGTTTATGGGTGAGAGCCTGAAGCACTAAATTGAGGTCTCAAGCTGAAACTGGGGGCCTGGTAGGTGGGTAAATGTTCTGTATACCCTTAGGCTACGTCTACACTGGCCCCTTTTACGAAAGGGGAATGCTAATTTTAAACTTCGTAATAGGGAAATCCGCGGGGGATTTAAACATCCCCCGCGGGATTTAAATAAAGAGGTCCGCCGCTTTTTTCCGGCTTGGGGAAAAGCCGGAAAAAAGCGTCTAGACTGGCCCGATCCTCCGGAATAAAGCCCTTTTCCGGAGGATCGGGCCAGTCTAGACGCTTTTTTCCGGCTTGGGGAAAAGCCGGAAAAAAGCGTCTAGACTGGCCCGATCCTCCGGAATAAAGCCCTTTTCCGGAGGATCGGGCCAGTCTAGACGCTTTTTTCCGGCTTGGGGAAAAGCCGGAAAAAAGCGTCTAGACTGGCCCGATCCTCCGGAATAAAGCCCTTTTCCGGAGGATCGGGCCAGTCTAGACGCTTTTTTCCGGCTTGGGGAAAAGCCGGAAAAAAGCGGCGGACCTCTTTATTTAAATCCCGCGGGGGATGTTTAAATCCCCCGCGGATTTCCCTATTACGAAGTTTAAAATTAGCATTCCCCTTTCGTAAAAGGGGCCAGTGTAGACGTAGCCTTAAAGAAGCACTTGGTCATTGGGTGGGTGAAAACAGATTTGTTGTCAATGGGAAGGTAAAAGGCTATTATGGCAGTGAGGTGACCCTTTAGGGACCTGAGAGAGGGGCCTGACTCTTTTAATGGTAGGAGGTATTCCAAAATGTTAGGTAGTGGTACCATTGATGGATTCAAGTGTTTTTGTTCTGTCCAAACTGAGAATCTTCACCATTTATAGAGATAAAATTTTCCAGTTGTTATTCTACGACTCTTCAACAAAATTTGTTTGACCTGATTGGTGAATATTGTTTCTACTAAAGTGAATCATTAAGAAACATGCCTAAAGGTGAAGTGTTTGTAGGCCTGGGTGATGAACTTGGCTGCCCACTTGTGTCAGGAGATGAGGAAGCAATGGGAATCGCCATGGCATTCTCTTGTACATCTGAAGCAGGTAAGTGTCCCATGTCTGCCTGGGCCAACCTGGAGCAATAAGGACCACTGTGGCTGTGTTCTGCCTTATTTTGTTGAGTACTCAATGAAGGAGTGGAATTGGATGTTACTGTGAATGCATCCCCAAGAGAGTGCAAGCTAATGCCCTCAGGTGAACAATATTGTGGACATTTCTTGTTGGTATTGGTTGCAAACAAGTCCACTGTCAGAAAACCCCAGTTGATGGAGGACCTTGGAATCTATTTCCCATTTGTGACTGGAGTTGAAATACCTCCTGAGGTCGTCCACAGTCAGGTTGTTCTTGCTTAGTAGATAAAGAGGCTTGTAAGTGTATGTCATGTGTTATGCATCATGTCCAAAGGCAGACAGCCTCCTCCCTGCCTGTAACAGATGGTTTCTTGATTGTCCGCAAAGATCATGCATAGTAGCAACACCGCACGTGCCATCTGCTTTGTGTGCACAGCCTGGAGGGCACTGCTACCTAAAATCTCCGATTAGAGGCCCCTCAAACACCTAAGGTAGAGTACCCATAGGGACAATTCTTGAAGAAGAACATGCAAGTATCACTTTTTCACAGCAGACTCATTAGTTAGCTGGCAGGCTGTGAAAAGTGATACATGTATGTTTGTTAATTTCACTTTTCACCGTTCATATCCTGCCATGTAGCTACTAAAGGCCTATGAAAAGTTATATTAATAAATATATACAAATATCACTTTTCAAAGAATTATTTTTATTACTGAGTCTGCCAAAAACAATATAAATTACAAGGTTTCAGTGTGTACATCTGTGTATTTATTTGTTTTTCCTAAATTTAAACATTTCAGGGAAAAGTATCAGTGTGGCTACCAGCAAGAGGTTGGTGGTTGCACTTTTAAGCCACCAAAAATTTGTTGTGAGAACCCTGAACTAGAGAATCTTCCTACACCAAATGTGGTTATCTGAGTTTAGTATTCACCAGAGATTAACAATAATGTAACAACGTATTGCAGAACTTTGAACCTAAAAGAACTGTTCTTAATTTTTTTTAGTGCACTGTATTAATGGATATATGTTCACATCTCCTTAATGTAAAACAGATATGGAAACTATTGTAGCCAGAAAAGTAACATATGTTCTTGTAGAATATATTAGCTTATATCAAATAATTTTTAATTATTTTTATTTTTTATTCATTCACATGTTGTATTTTACCTTGTTTCTTCCTCCTCCTTTTGTTTTTTTAATGCTTCTTCTGTAAGTCTTTCAAAAATCTTAGAATTAATTTCATCTTTATTTTCTAGATATAGTCTGTGTAATAAAAATATTCCTGCAATACAATTATACAAGAATATACTTTTGGCAGCAATATAAAATGACCATTTCATTAGAAGGGCATATTTTAAGCTATGAAAGTCATTTTATTAATGGTTGACAACTTAGAGAAAGGTTTTTAAATTTTAGAAAAGAAGTTGTGCCAATTAAAATGACAGATATACCGCTTCTGAAAATTGTAAAGCTTTGTTTTCAGTGCCAACAGCCTAATAAATAATAATAGGATGAGGCTATGGCAAGCCTATGGTTGGTTAAAAGTATTCAAATTTTACATTTGTTAATGTCATATTTTAATTGCTATTTGTCTAATTTGTATGTATGCCCATAGTTTATGAATGGAAAAAATGAAAAAAAGTCCATATAACTGGTGCAGGGTATGAAGAAAAAAAGACTCATGTCCTCAGCACTGCAAAGCTCTTAACTATATGAATAATTTTATTTGCAGATCTGTTGCACATTATTTATCTGGTTTGACAAACAGATACAGGGATATACTCTTTCCAACTTTATCTCAATTTAATCAAATAGAGCTATGCTGATTTAAACCAACCTAGGATGTGGCCAATGATACAAGGACTCAAAGTGCTCTGTAAATGCAGAAGTGTGTTATAATGTCTATTAGAAGATACAAGTGGAAAGCAGACATAAAACTAGAAAACATTTACCCGCATCAACAGTTTAAAAATAGGTAAGGGAATAACCCACTAATATAGCTGAAAAAAATCCCAGAAGCTACTTAGCTTGTCTTTAGCCAACCCCTGATATCCATTTCTGCACATTACCTCAAACTTCTCAAATATAAAAGGTTCCTTCTCTCACCTGTGCACAAAACATGCAATCTTCTACTCTGTATTAGAGTGGTTAGAAATGTATATTAATTGCTTGGAATACTGAATTAGCGATACATTGAACAAGATAGTTAATTTGTATATGGTGCAGATTTTAGCTGATTGCTGTATTTGTGTTGTTTCTTCAGGTAATTGTTAAATAGCAGCAACAGTTTTAAGTGGAAATAATTTGTAACAATAGCATTTTCAGAAGCTACCATTTGTAGTGTTTCTAATAGAGTTATTTAGGTGATGTAGTAAGGAGATGTGCTGCTATGTTTTTCAGTATTTTGATTTGTGACTAGAGGTATGGTCACAAGTTTTGTGTAGAGCGATGTGGAGGAGACCTGCATTACAGACTAACTGATAAAAAAAGGCAGAGAGAGAAACTGATCGCTTTTCATACAGAAGCAGAATCCTATAAAATTGCTAGTGGGACACAAGTGCACTTCAACTGACATTTCTTATAATAGTACCTCAAGAAAAGATATCAATATTTGGAAAAGGTTTTAATGTTCATACTTTAAAAGTAAAGCATTTACTAACCATTTTTTTCTTCATTCTTCAGACAGACAACAGTGTCAGGTAAGAGGCCTTTTTCTGACAAGACTAACCAGTGTTCTGATGTTACAGGATAGTTATCCAGTACCCATCCTCCTTTTTCTGGAGCTCCAGGAAACCTATCTTTGTTCTTCTGAGTGATCTGTTACAAAATGTTGGGTTTAGATGTAAAACAAAATTATAGAAATATAATAATATCAGTGAATTGTTTTAAAAAAGTTACAAAAGATGAACACAAACAATTAAAAATATGTAGGGGCAAAATTAGAGAGCCCAAGGCAAAAAATGAGCTCAAATTAGCTAGAGAAATAAAGGGTAACAAGAAAACATTCTACAAATGCATTAAAAGAGAAAGACCAAGGACAGAATAGGCCTGTTAATCAACAAAGAGGGAAAAACAATAACAGAAAACGTGGAAATGGCAGAGGTGTTTAACCACTTCTTTAATTTGGTTTTCACCATGCAGGTTGGTGGTGATTGGACTCCTAACATAGTGAATGCCAATGAAAATGAGGTAGTTTCCAAAGTTAAAATAGAAAAAGAATAATATAAAAAGTACATAGACAAATTAGATGTCTTCCAGTCTGCAAGGCCTGATGAAGTGGATCCTAGAATACTCAAGGAACTGATTGAGGAGACATCTGAGCCAATTTTTAATATCTTTGAAAAGCCTTAGAAGACAAGATAAATTACAGAAGATTGGAAAAGGGCAAATATAGTGCCCACCTATATAAAGGGAAATAAGGACAGCCCAGGAAACTACAGATGAGTTAGCTTAACTTTCTGTACCAGGAAAGATAATAGAGCAAATAATTAAGGAATCCATCTGCAAACATCTGTAAGATAATAAAGTGATAAGGAACAGTCAGCATGGATTTGCACATAACAAATAACATCAGACCATCCTGATAGCTTTCTTTGATAAGATAACAATCCTCATGGATAAGGTAGATGGGGTATACCTTGATTTTAGTAAAGCATTTCATACAATTTTGTATTTGATTCCGTCTTGTATGACCATCTCATTAATAAACTAAGGAAATACAACCTAGATGGGGCTACTATAAAACGAATGCATAACTGGTTGGATAACCATTTCCAGAGAGCTATTAAAGGTTCACAATTATGCTAGAAGGGCATAACGAGTAAGGTGCCACAAGGATCAGTTTTGAGACTAGCTCTGTTCAGTATATTTATCAATAATTTAGATAATTGCATAGAAAGTATTCTTACAAGGTTTGCAAATGATACCAAACTGGGAGGGGTTGCAAGTGCTTTGGAGGATAGGATTGTAATTCAAAATTATCTGAACAAACTGGAGAAATAGTCTGAGGTAAATAGGATCAAATTCAACAAGGACAAATGCGAAGTACTCCACTTAGGAAGGAACAAACAGTTTCACACATACAAAATGAGAAATGACTGCCTAGGAAGGAGTACTGCAAAAAGGGGATCTACGGATCCTGATGGACCACAAGCTAAATATGAGTCAACAGTGTCACAGTGTTGTAAAATAAAAGCAAACTGTATTGTGGGACATATTAACAGGAGTGGTGTAAGCAAGACAGGAGAAGAAATTCTTCTGCTCTACTATGCATTGATTAGGCCTCAATTGGAGTATTGGAGTCCAGTTCTGGGTACCAAATTTCAGGAAAGATGTGGAGAAATTGGAGAAGGTCCAGAAAAGAGCAACAAATACTATTAAAGAACTCAAAAACATGACATGATTGAAAGAATTGGGTTTGTTTAGTCTGGAAAAGAGAAGACTGAGAGGGGACAAGAAAACATCCTTCAAGAACCTAAAAGACTGTTTCAAGGAGGAGGGAGAAAAATTATTCTCCTTAACCTCTGATGATAGGACAAGAGGCAATGGGCTTAAATTGCAGCAAGGGAGGTTTAGGTTGGACATTATGAGAAACTTCTTGTCAGGGTGTTTGAGCACAGGAATAAATTGCCTATGGACCTTGTGGAATCTTCATCATTGGAGATTTTAAGAGCAGGGTAAAAAAACCCACCTGTCAGGGAGGATGTTAGTTGTCAAGAATAGTGCTTGGTCCTACAATGAATGCAAGGGACTGGAGTTGATGACTTCTTGAGATTCCTTCCAGTTCTATGTTTCTACGAAACTCAACTGTGACAGTAGATGCATTTATGCTCTTTTGCTCTCACTACAGTCCTTCAAGTATATTGCTTCCACAGAACACATATTAGAGCCTATGGGTGGTAGAAGTCCTGCCCTTTAGACCGGACTGGACATACTCCAAATGCTCCCCTGCTATAAAAAAAAGATGCCCAGCTCATTCTTGAATGACTGTTGAGGAGGAAGGAGCCTTGGTGGAGGCGTATCAATTTGTTTCAAAACCTCCTACATTTCAATCTGGGATAGTCTCTTAGCCCTGCTCTACACTAGGACCTTGGTCCCAAATTAGCCCCCAAAGGTCGAATTTTGTAAGCAATGTGTCCACACTAACAAGCCCATTATTCCAAGACAAGTGGCCGTGGAATTTGAACTCTAGTCCTGCTTTCCTTGAGGAATAACGCTATTCCCAAACTTCTAAGTCTGAAATAACATTAGTGTGGCTGCTCCAGTGCAGCTAATTCAAACTTATTAGCCTCCAGGAGTCCTCCCGCAGCTCCCCAGAGTGCTTCCTGGGGCTCTGAATCCGAGATAGTATGTTCACATTAACGGAGCCTGCCTTGGACTACACTTGATTCTTCCCCATACTGAGAACATGGAAGTTTGAATTTGTAAAATCGAGTGCCCAGAAGTCGAACTTAGTAAATTCAGACTAATCTTCTGGTGTAAACAGCCTTAGAGTTGTCACCTAAAAAGAATAGCTTAGGCTTGGGAATTTTCTTCACATCCTTTAACCCAAGGGCTACACTACTGACTTGGGCCATTAGATCACACTGCTTCATGGTGATGGACTGATTGAAGTCACCTAGGCTACATCTAAACTACAAGTTTTTGAGGCAGAAAATATGCTAATGAGAGACTCATTAGCATAAGTTGCAACATCATTAGCATATTTTCTGCCATTTCTTTTTGTGCAAGGGTTTTTTGCACAAAAAGAAGCAGTGTGGACGGGGTTTTTTATGAGCAAAACTCCCATTTTGCACAAGATCCATATGCTTCTCTAGGACAGGCATAAGGATCTTGCGCAAAATGATGTTTTTGCACAAACCCTCCCATCCACACTGCTTCTTTTTGCACAAAAAACCCTTGTGCAAAAAGAAACAGCAGAAAATATGCTAATGATGTCGCAACTTATGCTACTGAGTCTCTCATTAGCATATTTTCTGTTCAAAAGCTTGTACTGTAGACGTAGCCCTACAGACCAACAGCAGTACAAGAAGTATCCACACACCCCTGTGCCCTTGCCCTCATGGGACAGGGTGTTCATACATCACAACAGAAGTAAGGAACACACTACTAGAAGTAGTGGATTCTCCTTCTTTTGATGTCTTCAAATCAAGTCTGGATGCCTTTCTAGAAGATATAGCTTAGTCAAACAAAACATGATGCTCCCAATAAAGGGGTAACTGGATTAAATTTTATAGGAGTGATAAAACTACATGATACAGTGATCCCTTCTGACCCTAAAATCTGTGGATTTTTGTTATTCTTAACTCAAGCTCCAGTTCAAGAAAACACTTAAGCATGTATGCAGAGCCGGCCCAAGGTATGGGCTAACTAGCCTCCCGCCCGGGGTGCCCCATTGTAGGGGGTGCCAGGCCGGGCGGGGGCGGCACCATGCATGCACTGGGCGCCCGGGGGCAGGGCCACGCATACACTGTGCGCCCAGGGCCATGCATGCGTTGCGTGCCAGGGGACAGGGCTGCATATACACAGGGTGCCCGGGGGCAGGGCCGCACATGCATCACACTCCTAGGGGCGGTGCCGCGCTCCTGGGGCGCGCGAGTGGCTCGGGCCGGCCCTGCATGTATGTAAGTTCATCTCTATTGAAAGCACTTAAATACTTAAATCCCATTGACTTCAAAAAGACTTAAGTAGCTATTTAAAATTAACCACATGTGTAAGGGCATAACTGAAGCAAGAAGCTTTTCTGCACTGAGTCCTTACACTGTATTCTGTCTCATTGATCTACCAGTAATCCTAGTCTTTTTAGAGTTTGGCCTGGAAGTCTTCTGTTTTAAAATAAAACAGTGAAACTTCACAACCTGATCCTAAAATCCTTCCTCAGGCAGCTGTTTGGAAGTTTTGCTTAAGAACTGATGAACAAGGCTTTTTAATAACAGATTTAAGGATCTGCACTAGATTTCTATGTTACAACCATAGCAATGTAGTAAGGAATAGACCATTTTAATTAGCTATATATTATTGCTGTTACTATTATAATGATAATAATCAATACAGCTGTGCAATGGTACATTGTAGTGAACATTGCTTAAGGGCCAAATGGGAGTGATTCAAGCCTTTCTATACTACTGCTTTATGACTCCAATAGTATCAGAAGGTTTACAGTGAAACTAAAAAAATATTGAATACAAAATTAATAAAAGTTTGACATTCCTAATGACAAGTCTACAAATATTACATCTTAAAGTTCCTATTCTTTCCAGTCTAGCTTCCAACTCATCTGAAGAAGAGGGTTTTGCCCATGAAAGCTCATGATACCATATATATTTTTGTTAGTCTCTAAGGTGTCACAGGACTACTGATTGTTTTCAAAGTTACAGACTAACATGGCTACGCCTCTAAGACTTTCTAAAGTAAGCAAATCCTCAGCATGTTTCAGGTCTAACTGAGACTATATAATATGAAAATTAAATATTGCCAAAGGCATACATAAAATATTACAAGAAACTCTCAAAAATAGTATTTGAATGTTTTGGTGCTCGTATTGGTACCTCAATAATGGCTTTCTCTAAAACTTCAGCATATACTTCAGCTAGTAGCGTTATTGGAGACTGTGCTGCAACTTTTACAGCTTCTTCTACCAAAGCTTGTACTTCTGGGTGATCAGCAGTTATCTCTGACTCTGTTATGTTTATAGATGTATCTTCTATTGTGTTTGCAAACAACATAAATGTAAATTAATAATAAAGACAGTTAGTATCTTACATTTTACAGTGTTTTTATCTAGAAGGCTTATAAAGCATTTTACTGGTTTTACAAATTAGTGTGTATATCTAGAGCCCAGCAAAGATACAAAATTTGTATCTGCATCCATATCAGAAAAAATGAACCAAGGATACTAATGGATATAAAACAGATATCCACTAATTAGCAGGGTTCTAGATACAAAATTTGTATTCATGAATGCATCCAGATCCACATAAAAATGTAAGAATGGCCATACTGGGTCAGACCATCGATCCATCTAGTCCAGTATCCTGTCTGCCAACAGTGGCCAATACCAGATGCCCCAGAGAGAGAGAAAACAACAGGTAATCATCACATGATCGCTCTCCTGTTACCCAAAAAAATGAGCCATGAATACCCGTGGATATAAAGTGGATGTCTACAAATTTCAGGGTTCAAGATACAACATTTTTATCCACATCTGCAAAAATGAGCCATGGATATCTCCAACCATATCCACACATACAGAAGATATAAAGCAGATACCCATGGATTTGCAGAACTCTGTGTATATCCTATAAACACTTACATGACCACCATAACAGCCATTTAGGTGAAATGAAACATTCATTTAAAAACAGAGCAGCGCTACACAACAGTTTTGAAGAAATTACATAACATGTATTTAATAATGACAACAGATTTTATGTCTCATTTAAAAGATAACTTATGTAGAACGATGACCACAAGACCAGAGTGGGCATTATTTCAACATTGACTCAGAGTGAAGAATTAATTACTAATACCACTCCCTTTAAAACTTTCAGAGCTTCTCTTGAGGGTTTCTAGTCAAAATGTTAACCTGTTCTGACCCAGGATTGTATGTTAGAAAAACCAAAAATCATAGTGTAATGTGGCACCTCCTCAGTAAGAGAAGGTTACTCACCTTTAGCGGTAACTGACATTCTTCCAGATGAGCATCCCTGTGGGTGCTCCACAGCAAGTGTTGATCAGTCCCAGAACTGCAGACCAGACTCTTCACAGCAATGCATGGGGGTCCATGCATGCACGGCAGAAAAGGTGCATGGGCCTCCTCTCAGTTCCTTCTCTACCCAGAAACCCAGTCTGATAAAAAGGTGTCTGAAGTAGAGGGGATGATGGGAGGATAGTGGAGCACCCACAGGGATGCTTATCTTGAAGAAAGTGAAATTACTCACCTTGGTGCAGTAACTGTCGTTCTTCGAGATGTGTGTCCCTGTGGGTGCTCCACTGTAGGCGCTGGGCTTGCCCCAGCACTGCAAGACAGAGATTTTTCGCAGCAGTAGTCCAGCTGGACTGTGCATGCGTGGGGAGCGTCTCTCAGCATTCAGGCCCTTTTGTGCTGCGTGGTCCGGTCTGAGCCAGTTCCTCGTACCTGCTTCAGTATCTGGAAAAAAAGAGGACGGACACAGACTCCGAAGTGGGGAGGCGTGCAGGTAGTGGAGCACCCACAGGGACATGCATCTCGAAGAATGACAGTTACTGCACCATGGTGAGTAACTTTGCTTTCTTCTTTGAGTGATGTCCCCGTAGGTGCTCCACTGTAGGTGTCTGCACAGCAATATCCCCCCTTCCCCATATCATGGAGGTAGGTGGGAATCAGAGTCTCTATTGGTTTGCAGATGAAAGAACTGCAGCCGTTGCGGATTTATCTGACAGCCATCTCTGCTGTACAGCGTAATGTTCTACAAAGGTGTGACAGGACGCCCACATGGCTGATCTATAGATGTCTGCAAGGGGAACCCCTCTGAGGAAGGCTGTGGAAGCTGAAACAGATCCAGTGGAGTGTGCTCTGGGGTGTTCCGGGAGCGGTATTCCCCAAAAGAGTAGCAGTGGGTTATGCAAGACACAATTAAGTTAGCTACTGTTTGAGCAGAAATGAGTTCGCCCTTGGAGTGTTCTGCCAGGGACAGGAGAAGTCTGTCTTTCTAAAGGGTTTGGTGCGATCAACATAAAAGACTAGTGCTCCACACACATCTAGAGTATGGAGAGCCGCTTCTTTAGCAAAAGCATGTGGCTTAGGGTAGTATGCAGGTAATACGATGGGCTCATTAACATGGAAATTGGAACAGACCTTAGGTATAAAGGCTGGGTGATGTCTGAGGACAACACAGTCCCTCTGGAAGATGGTGTATGGGGGTACAGTCATTAACGCTGATAGCTCGCTGACTCTGCACGCAGAGGTGATCGCAAGTAGAAACACCAACTTCTGGGTCAGCAGTTGAAGAGATATTGTGGCCAACGTTTCAAATGGTGGGGCCATAAAGGTCTGTAGTACCAAGTCCCACAGCGGAGGGGGTAGCACAAGAGCGGGTTCAGATTTGTCAGGCCCTTGATAAACCTCTTTGTGAGGGGATGCGCAAATATCGAAAACCCTCTATAGGCTGTCAGAAAGCCACTATTGCCGCGAGATGTACTTTTAGTGATGCTAAAGCTAGTCCTGTTTGTTGTAGATCCATTATATAGTCAAGAATGTTATGCATAGGAGCAAGTAGTGGGTTCATGTGAGGGTCTGAGCACCAGGCAGAAAACCTTGTCCATTTCGCCAGGTATGTATTTCTTGTATTAGGTCGCCTACTATGTATGAGGACATTTTTAACCTTCTCAGAGCATAAGGTTTCAGTAGCACTCAGCCAGCTAGGTACCACACTGCGAGGTGCATCGTATGAAGTTGTGGGTGGAGAAGGAGACCGTGGTTCTGGGTGAGAAGTGCCGGGAAGAGGGATCCAGTGCTGCCTCACCCATGCAGGGGCTATCAATATCACTGTGGTCCAGTCTGTCTTGATTTTCTACAACACTCTTGGAATGAGTGGTATAGAGGGAAAAGCATACATAAGGGTCCCCTCCAGCTGATGAGGAATGCGTCCCCCAATGAATGGTAACTGAGGCCTGCCCTGGAACAGTATTAGTGACACTTCTTGTTGTTGTAGGTTGCGAATAGGTCGATGAGCGGCGTGACTCATCGGTAAAAGAGGGAGTGAAGAACTCCGTGGTGAAGCTCCCATTCAGGATCTGGGGCAAATCTGTCCGGGATGGTCCTTGGTCCTGTCATAGGGGCAGGGAGACTGGACTTGATTCGATGGCCTCTCAAGGTCCCTTCCAACTCTATGAGATGGGTCTGTCTCCATGTCTATTAGCACAGTGGTTACATAGTCACATGACTGTGGGAGACGCCAATGATGTCCCCTCTGCACTGTAGATTGATGTAGTACATTGTGGCTATATTGTCTGTTAGAATCTTTACCATAGACTTGCATATGTGGTCGCAAAAATGCCTTCAAGCATTCGTGACAACTCTGAGCTCCAGAAGATTTATATGGAGCAATGTCTCTTGGGTTGTCCAGCGGCCCTGTACAGAGGCTCTGCCCAAATGCGCTCCCCATCCCAGAAGGGAAGCATCTGTTGTAATCTGGTATCGTGGTAGCGGCTGGTGAAAGGGCATTTCTGACAGCAAATGCTTTTCTATGGTCCACCAGTGCAGAGAGGCTATGATGTTGGAAGGTATCGCCACTATCCTGTGTACGTCGGGGGTGGTATAATTGTGCACGGTGGCTAGCCAATGTTGGAGGGTGCGAAAGTGTAGCCTGGCATTTCTGACCATGAAAGTAGTTGCAGCCATATGGCACATAAGCTTGAGGGCCAAGAGTAATTGAATCCTGTGCTTGATTTGACAGGTATCTATTAGCAGCTGTATTGCATGAAACTTGGCCACAGGTAGGAATGCTCTTCCTGACTTGGAGTCCAGCCTTGCCCCAATGAACTCTAGGTTTTGGGTGGGAATCAATGTTGATTTGCCCTCGTTCATTAGTAGGCTGAGAGATTGGAAAGTTCGTCTGGTAATGGATATCATTCTGGCTACCTGCGAAGACGATCGGCCTTTTATAAGACAGACATCTAGGTAGGGGGAATATGATTACCCTGCTGCATCGGAGATGAGCAGAGATGACTAAGAGCACCTTTGTGAACACTTTGGGGGCAGCTGAAAGTCCGAATCGAAGGACCCTGTATTGGTAGTGGTTTTTGCTGACAACGAATCTGAGAAACCGTCTGTGTGCAGGGTGGATCATAACATGGAAATAAGAGTCCTGTAGGTTGAGAGCAATGAACCAGTTGCCCTGATCTAAGGCTCGGATAATTGATGTAAGGGTCACCATTTTGAAATGCTGTTTTCGAAGATATTTGATTAGTTTACTGAGATCCAAGATTGGTTTTCAACCCCCTGACTTCTTCTGAATCAGGAAATAGAACCCTTTCCCTCTGAATTTTTTAATAATGGAGATTGCCTATCTACTAGAACTGCAAGGGACCTTGAAAGGTCATCAAGTCCAGTCCCCTGCCTTCTCAGCAGGACCAAGTACCATCCCTGATGAATTTTTGCCCCAAATCCCTAAATGGCCTCCGCAAGGATTGAACTCACAACCCTGGGTTTAGCAGGCCAATGCTCAAACCACTGAGCTATCCCTCCCCCAATTCTTGCAGCACTCTTTCTACTATGCCGATCTGCAGCAGATGATTTATTTTGGCTAGGAGCAGATCTTCATGAGCGGGGTCCCTGAAAAGGGATGGGTTTGGAGTTTTTTTAGGTGGGATAGAGAGGAAGGGTATGGCATAACCGGTTCTGGGGTTTTTTTAGGTGGGATAGAGAGGAAGGGTATGGCATAACCGGTTCTGATTATCTCTAGCACCCATCTGTCGCTGGTGATGTCTGTCCAGTGTTGGTAAAATGGGCATAGGCAATGGTGAAACAGTGGGATGGTGACTGGTGAGACTGGTTTTGTGGATGGTTATTCTGATTTCAATGCCTCGGAGGCCATGGATGTTGGTGGGAGTTATCTAAGGGCTGGTGTTGTTGCTATTGCCACAGCTGCCTGGGATAGTAATCATAGTGTCTCTGGTATGGCGTGTATCGTCATCTCCTATATGGCGGATTGTACATACCAA